GGCAGTAAAATCAGTGCAGCTTTTGAACACTCATCTTAATGCTGTAAAAATCCAACCTTTTAGAAGATTACCTATGTGAACCAGCCCTGAAACCCATAATCCTGGGATGAGAAAAACAGGAACAAGGGAAAATTGTGGGTAACGCGTTTCGAGACGGAACATTTTTGGAAGCCTTTCACCCCCTCCTACTCTGCCACTAATAAGGGACAAATGCTGGAACAAAAGGGTTAAATGCAAGTTGTGTTCAGATAAACAAAGCTGTGGGAGATGGAGCAGGTGCCCTGCCAGCTGACACCCAGAGCAGCCAGAATTTGGCACCGGGGAGAAGATCTAAAAGGCTGCTCTGAGCTCCGAGACTCACCGTGCACAGGCTGTTTCTTGGCTCCAGCTTTGCCAGTCCTGTCCACTTTAAATCAGGAGCAACAATTGCTTGCATCGAATTTCTCACCAGCTGGAGCGTAGCAAGGAGTGAATTATGTTTTCTGGGTCTCGGTAAATAAAAATCAAGGAAGAAAGTCTGATAAATGTGCAAGAAAAGGGCAGGAAAGGCCTGGGTCTCTGCCACCAACTCAATAGGGAGCCTTTGGCAAGTCCTTTGACTTTTTTTTCCCTCTTCCTTCTTTCACCTCTTCACATAGAAAACAGAAATAAGCAATATTTTCAGTAATTGGTCTTTGGAACTGACAATTCAGCACTCTGATGGATCTTCACTAGGATCTCTAAGCAGTATTGCAAATAACATCTAATTAATAATGTCAATTAAAGCACTGATGAAAGATTTGCATTTCTTCCCAAAGAGTGACACTTACCTGTCCAGTCTGGTCAAACAGTGGATAACACAGCCTGTCAATGTGCTGGATAAACCATCCTGTGTCGAGGATAAGTGTTTTTTTCAGAAGTTCATTGACTAATATGAGCGATTCTTGATTTATTAAGAGGTGTTGTAAGACACTTTAATAGCTGATGTTGTGTCCATATTTCTGTATCTTGGGTGTGAAAAGCACAAGTGTCATTCATGTCAGTCATAAAATCATGATATTTAAGGTGTTATTATCATAGAGCAATAGAATTTTAGAATGATTTGGGTTGGAAGGAACTTTAAGGATCATCCAGTTCCATCCCCTGCCGTGGGCAGGGACACCTCCCACTAGCCCAGGTTGCTCCAAGCCCTGTTCAGCCTGGCCTTGGACACTTCCAGGGATCCAGGGGCAGCCACAGTTTCTCTGGGCAACCTGTGCCAGGGGCTTCCCACTCTCCCAGCGAAGAATTTCTTCCCAATATCCCATCTAACCCTGTCCTCTGGCAGGTTAAAGCCATTCCCCCTTTTCCTGTGACTACACATTCTTTTCAAAAGTCCCTCAAAAATGTACTCCTTGAATTAATCCCCTGAAAAATGGGTTTCCAGTGAAAATGAAGATTAAAGCCTTGTTTTATTTATTCTTCATTTCTGAAAGAGCATCATATTTCATTATACCATTATATGTATATATGTATAATCATATCAGTGGGCTTTTTCTTCATCAGTGAAGTCTGATACACCAGTTCCTTACTCTTTATGTCCTAAGAGTAAGGTAACAAGAGGATCCTGTGAAAGCCCATGCACTGGTGGGCCCTACAGTCTTGCCCACTCAGCAAGAGTAAATTTTCTGAGTCGTATCTGTAGTCAGAAAGGCACTTAAATAAAACAATAACTCACAAAAATACCATTTCTGGGTAATAGTGTGAAAAAATGACAGGGACTGCCTTGTGTCTGGGCTTCCTTACAACCCCAGCTCAAATGCAAGGTCAGGTTCTGTCCCTGTATGTGTAAATATGTTAAATGTTAAACACAGAAATAATCCATATGAATTCCATTGCATTCTCCTGCAGGTGGGCACACACAGCCATTGGCATGGTTTCCTGTCAAGTAAATACCCATATTTTCATACAGAAAACACAAATATGCATTGTCTGAGAGAAGGGAAGCAGCAGCACGTGGGAATTTAAAGGTGTTACAGGGAATTTAGGGAGTTACAGATGGTGGCTCTATGTTCCTCACTATGTCCTTATATATAAATATAAATGCATGTATATATGTGTAAACACACAAAAATATAATGGTATATATATGTGTGTTATTCCAACATTTAATAGATGGACTTTGACTTTTAGTTGCAATTCAGGGTATGATGTTCAATATAAATCTAATTGACTTTCCAGTAGCTTATTAAGGAAAATTAGGTTGATGAATCAAGCCTAAAAACCTATATAGTCAAAGATTGCACTGGAACTGTCTTCAGTGCATTAGTAGAGCTTAGATATACAGAAAAATATGTTAATAAAAGGCAAGTTTGCTCTTAGAGCAATCAAAATATTAACTTTATTGAAAGTGTGAATCCCTTCATAACGCCCAAACACAGTGAAATGCAATAAAATTTGGGTATATATATAAAAATATCACTATAAAAAACCTATTCATGTCAGAAAACCTAAATTAATATGATGCTTCAATGTTATTACGGATGTCATGAAATTCAAAATGAACTCAAATCTAATATTTTAACATCGCTGTGATTTACTACTACCTATATTTGGAGTGAAATAATGGTAATTTTTATTTCATCCTTTTTAGATTATAGGAATAAAAACCCATTTAAAACGTTTAAACATAAAAAAAATATCTTTTTCTGAGCCATCAGTGTAATATGCAGGATGCCAGGAACATCAGGCTTCAATCCATTTAGCAGTGGCCTGGTCTTTCTCCAGAAAGAATTTTGGACAGTTTGTAATGTCAAATTACTCCATAAATGATGAAATAAAACCGTTTTTTTATGAGTCAAAGAGGGTTTTTTTGGGGAGTTTTTCTTGCAGCTTCTTCTGACCCTGTTTTTGTGGGTCACTGTAAGGCATAGGTTGGTGTGTGAGGTGACCTCATGGGAGGAGCCAGTTCCATGGGAGCTGCTGATTTGAGTGGCACATGCTGGGGAAGACACCAGGAAAGACAGGGATAAAGGAACAGTGGTTTGCTCATTGATCCTCTATTTGCCAGCTAAACCCACAGGTGAAAATTCCCACACGACAACCCAAGCTCTGCATTCTGAAGTTGGATTTTAGCAGCACAGGTGCCTATATCTGAGCTGCATCACTGTCAGTAAACCTGGGGTTTGGTAGATCTAGGAGGGAAACGGGTCTGTCCAAAATATTCTGCAGAGCCATCCCTGTGACTGTGCCAAGAACCTGGAGCACAGCCCCAGCTCTGCTGCAGCATCTGCCAGTTCAGCCTGATGCAGCAGCTGAACAATCTTTGCTAGAAAAGGTTTGCTCAGAGCGTTGGTGACCTCTCCTCAGAATTTTTAGACTTATCCAACATTTGCAAACGCACAAGAATTAGAATTATAGAATCATAGGATATCTTGGATTGGAAGGGACCCACAAGGATCATCCAGTCCAACCCTCAGCCCTGCACAGGAACATCCCCAAGGGTCACCCCCTGTGCCCCAGAGGATCATCCAAACCCTCCTGGAGCTCTGGCAGCCTTGGGGCTGTGCCCACTGCCCTGGAGAACCTGGGCAGTGCCCAACCACCCTCTGGGGGAAGAATCTTTTTTAATATCCAACCTAAATTCCCACATGTAAAATCCTCAAAGCAGCTGGACCTGGGGAGACAAGGCAGGAGTCCAAGGGTGTTCTCACCATGGCTTTCAGTATTAACCCTCCAAAGTCACTGGTGTGTTGGGTGTGGAGGTTTGATGCTCAATACATCCATCCAAAGTCACAGTACAGCCTCCCTGATGCTTCAGAGGGGTTTTCTAGACTCCCTCCATCACCTTCACATCAAACCCTCTTTTTTTATTCTCTCAGAAAATCAAAAAGCCCATCTGATTTATTATAGAAGAGAGAGATAACTCAATTGATTTTAAATTATTACATGATAAGGAATTTGAAAAAGTATAAACTGGAAAACGTGTTTTATACTGCACTGAATAATTTTAGATCCTTCAATGCTTTCTATTTTCCCATAGGATCAAAATCAGACTCTGCTGGGATTTTACTGTTAGTGAAAACCTTCTCACACAATTTGAAGTTTTTTTCCAATCCCTAATTAATATTGGACCATCAGGGTTAAGAAAAGGAGCAACCTGGAGCCCTGTGGTCGCTCCAGAGGATGCAGAACTGAGCTGCTCTGAACATTTAACCTGCTGCAGTGGTCAATGAAGTGCTGGAAATGTTGTTTCACTGCTCTGTGGGCCCCTGGCAGAGCTTTTTGCTGCAGCTTCACGAGGCTCCTCAGTGTCTGTGCACGATGCAGCAGCACCACTCCATGGCTCCTGCATCCCCCAACACCCAGCCTGAGCCACAATCCTCTGAGGGGCCAGCAAAGTCTGACTTTGGAATTAAACATTTAGCAAGTTGGGTGGGAATTTGGCTTTAGAGGATGCCAGCAATATTTTTTTTGAAGGATAGAAGAAAGGAAAAGGAAATAAAGAAAGGAAAAGGAAATTAAGAAAGGAAAAGGAAATTAAGAAAGGAAAAGGAAATAAAGAAAGGAGAAGGAAATAAAGGAAAAGGACATTTTTTAATGTAAACCCAGATTGTTATCATTTCGTGTTGTAACATCTGTACTTTTAGTACATAAATCACCATGGATTTTGGTACAATGTTTTGTAAGTGTGTGGGTCTTTCTTATTTCAGAATCTTCCCCCTCGCTTAAAAATACGGAAGAAATAAAGAAAAAAAATCCTCAGAAAAAAGCTCCCTCATCTATTTTTCTTATTATTCCTGGAGTTTGATCAAACTTCCTGATGACCAGATATTTAACAATACAATGCAATCCACCATCTTCTGAAAAACACTTTCCATTCATAAAAACACAAGCTCCATAATGAAATAGAGATTTAAACTTGCAGTTCTTCACTGGGCTCTGCTACATCCCTTCCTCTTATGGGAAACAAACTGTTATCAAAATTAAATTGCAAACTATTATCAGGAAAGAATTAATTACTTTTATCCTTCTCATTTCAGGTTGGGAAGTAGATAATTTGGGGCAAACCCATGCAGGTAAGAACCAGTTGTGCTGCCTACCTTTTAGGTACCTCTGTTCTCAAAAACTGTGCAGAGTACATGGAAATATCAGATTAGTGGAAAGTTGTTTGTGTATCGACCATTATGGCAATCACACATTTAGTTCTTTGTAACTCTCAGATAAAAAGTGAAATTAAAAATCTCATAAGTCTTTGTGAATCAGTGTGATTTAACCTAAACCCACGAAATCAAATTATCTTACTTAGACCAACTAGTTACTGCTTTTTGTCATTGATGGATGAAAATAAGTTTTCATTAACTCTCTGAAAACTGACCATATTTAAATACCTATGGATTATAAATCTAAATTCCTAAAGATACAATATTTGACTTCTATAATTTTACAATCAAACTTTTCCTGGTTTGATTGCCTGTGTTTTTAGCTATGTGCTTGTTTCTTGCAGTAGCTATTTTCTAATTTTAGAGGTTCAACTTTGATTTAAACTCACAAGTAAAACCACATTTACTTCCTGAGTAAGACAGAATCAAGTATTTATTGCCTTTGGGCCTGATTTAAACTAATAAAAATCAATTGCATCCAATTCACTGATTTCCACAGAGACCAGTTTGGGTCCTAATAGAAAACACAATCAAAACAATTTCATACCAAATTTCCACTTTTCCAGGTGATTATGACCTGCTGGAAAGCACAGCCCAGTCTCCCCTAGGTAAGAAATAAAACCATGGAGATTTTTTTTCTCTTTTTATTTATCTGTGTTAAAAAGGAAGCTCAGAGGTTTTTTTTCCCTGCCACTTTGGTATTATTTTCTAATCAGTACTAATTATAATCATATATTTTCTGCTATGTTACTTTTAGCACTATTATGAAAATTTATTCCTCCACTATTAAGCCTTACAATCTAGGGAAGTGTGTTGCTATAAATGATATCTACCTGCTTAACAGTAATTACTAAATGGTGTTAAAGACAGTCAACACCATGATTCAGTTGTTATTTTCCATAGGAAACTAGGGATGAATGTGCAAGAGTCATTTACCAAAATTTGCCAAGTAATGCGATGTTTTTAAATGAATGCTGTGATTAAAGAGATATATTCTGCTGCATGGATGGCAAACACAAGCTCTAAAAATAAGGTCATGAGCTGCTTGACTAAACTGCTCTAAGAATTCAAAGCAGCACAACCTTAATAACAAAAACCAAACCCAAACCTTGGAAATTTCCATCAGTTTTGGTCAAGGTACAGCTGAAACTCCAAAAACTGTAAGACATGGAAGCTGTTCTGTTGTACTGGAGAGGAAGAAGTGCAGCCAGAGGCCCAGCCCTAGTTTTATAACCAGGGCACTGAGCTCTGGCAAGATGATGGTGCTTCCAAAGAGCATCACAAGGGCTGTCCCACCTCAGCCAGCCTCATAGCAAAGTGAGTGTGAAGAGATTCCTTCCTCTTCTACCCCCAATTCTAGTTTTCCAGCACAGTTTTAAACCTGAGTGTGTCAGTGAAAGCCATTTAGGATCTAGTCTTAATAGCAGATTAGGCAAAAACCTGGGTATTTAAGCTTATAAATTGAGTTTATAGGCCAGAATTGGAACAATTAATAGACAGAGGAATGTAAGAAGCTCTGAACCAGGTTTTAAATTGTCAGTTGAAGTGACCATCTGTAAATGAACATATTGCCATGAAGACAGAGATTGGAAAGAGATTCCCACTCCATCTTTCCTTTTTCTACAGATTTGTTTTCCTACAGACCTTTTCCAAAAATTCACTCTCAAATCAGAGCCTATGCTTGAAGATAATTGAGTGGGATACATGATATCTGACCCCAGGAAAACAAACCAGCTGCCTCACCATGGATATATAATGGCTGGTTCAGATAGCCCACATATCCTGCCTGGCTTCCAGCAGCTGGTCCAGTCCCATGCATGTGCCTCAGATACAGAGCACTTAAAGTAGCACAGAGGGCCTATATTTAAGCACTGGACTTACCCTTTGGCCCCCTGAAATGTAGATGTCCACAGCAAAGCTGGATTCCCAAGATCCTTTTCAGAATCAATGGAGAGAACTGGACTTTTAGCAGCCCCCTGGTTTAGGTACCCACGTGAGAATGAGATTTTTGGTGGTCTGTAGGCACTGAGTACTCTGATTACATGTTTTTGCTCTCTGGTGGCCAACTGTAGTGGTTACCATCCAAAGATACCCATTGTAGAACTGGGTCATCAAAGATGTCATTAAATGTCAAGATTAAAATCCTCTATGGATGTCCAGACAAACAGTGTTTTCAGCAGAACTGCGGGGTTTTCTTTTCAAGGGGAGGGAGGGCATGTCCTGGGGTCTGCTTCCACAGTGTCACATTCCCAATTTGGCACAGGGGACATCAGCAGGAATTGCACTGAGGATGGCTGGTCTGAACCTTTCCCTCATTATTACGACGCCTGCGGCTTTGACGAAAACGAGACAGAGTCCGATAACCAGGTGGGAATTAGTCTTGTAATTATGAACAAATGAAGGGGGGGAGCAGCAGCAGCACTGCTTTTTGCCCAGCCTCTGATCATGTTATGATTTGATAGTGATCAGAACAAGCAATCGGATATTTATGGGTATAAAAATGTGAGGTTTAAATCCTTCTTAGCCTGGTACTGAATATTTACAGAAGATGAGTTTTTACTCTTGATGCAGCTTGTAACTTATAGAGTCATGGGTTAACCTGCACTTCTTCCCCTATTGACTAAAGAATTCCTAGGCCAACTTTTTTTTTCCTACAGGTGCGTGCACAGTGATCAAAAAAAAATAAAGATAGCTTTTGGCAGGTCTCTGACAAATAGCTTCGTGGTACACAAAACCAAGGGCACAGCTGACATAGAGCAGAGCTCTGATATCCAGTGAGATCTCAGAGGAAATAGAGGAGAAATCAGGCTGTTCAAGAAACAAATCCTGCCTCTGGTTCCCCCTGCATGTTGACAGGGTAAGGAAGATGTGGCTGTAGATGAATCCTTTAACCACGTGTTGTTTGCCTCCCAAGGATTACTACTACCTGTCTGTGAAGGCTCTGTACACGGTGGGATACAGCACTTCCCTGGTGTCCCTCACCACTGCCATGGTCATCCTGTGTCGTTTCAGGTGAGTCAGGACATGGGCAATGAGCTGTTCAGTCACTGGAGGAGAGAAATTGGACCTCATCTGTCCAAGCTTTTACCTCACCAGATGTAGAATACAAGGAAAAAAACCCTTTAATTGAGTTGCTCCCCCAGCTTGGACACACTCCAGTAGTCACATTTCTGTAGGAGAAAGTTTGGGTCTGTTTTATGAAGCTTCAGAAGATGCATTGGACTGGGTCTATTTTATGCTACAAGAAAATGCCCAAATCCTCCCCTTGCTCAGGCTTAAGATCAGTACTAACCACAGTCCTGGCTTATAAATATTGCTGTTCTTAGCACCAAGATGCTCTGGCCATGGGAAGATAGGCCCAGTGTGATGAAATACAACCATTTTCTTCTTTATTTCTCTTCTTTTCCCCTTCCCTTCCTCTTTGCTCTCTAGGAAGCTTCACTGCACCCGGAATTTCATCCACATGAACCTCTTTGTTTCGTTCATCCTGCGTGCAATATCCGTGTTCATCAAAGATGGGGTTCTTTATGCTGAACAGGATGGCAACCACTGCTTCATCTCAACAGTGAGTAAAGCTGAAACCTTGATTCTTTCCAGCATGAGATAAAAGAAAATAATGAGGCAAGCACAAGTCTGTTGAGCATCATAAACTGAGATGCCATTAAGAGAAAAAGGGGTAAACTGCCCTCCCAATTCACGGCCAAACTGGATGTTGTATCTCATGATGTCACCAGGGTCCAGCAACCAACCCTTCAGGACAAACCTACGGGTTTTGGTTTCTGCTCAGATTGTTTCTCCCTTTCACAGCCTGCAGAGCAGTGGGTGGGATGAGAGCAGGCACAAGCAATTTCCTCCCTCTGAAGGTCTGTTTTTTTCTCCAGAACCTCTTTGTTCTGGATGTCAGACAGAGTCCTGTGTAAGCAGGGTGACCATTCACACAGAAAACGCATCTGATGGTCACACTCTCAGCAAATCATTGGTATGAGCCACGTGTTTGTCTCTGAAATGTGGAGTTTCATGAAAAGCAGTCTCTTTCACAGATGCATTTAGCTGTATATTATGTGTAAATCCCAATTTCTTTCACAGTTAAGGCTAGTATTTGATATGATAAATCAGCTCACTGGGTGTAATTATGATGGAATTACAAACTGACTTCTCCTTTATCCATCCAGTTATGAGCTAAATTCCCTATGAGTCACTTCCACAAGGAAAGAGCAGCTGTGTAGTTTCTTAGTCAGCCTTTTCTTTGTCATTGAAACTAGTTTTTTTCTCTTAATTCTTCTCTGTGGTAAAGCTGAAGACATGTTAGTTCTGTAGTTTGTTCCTACCACTCTTCCAATGGTGGCATCTGCCTCTTTGTTTTGAAACACTTGAAGCACAATACACGTCAAAATTCACCATTCAGTCCCCAAATCCTCCTGGTAGAGCTTCTGTGAACAAACTCAAGTTCTGCTGGTTGAAACACATTGGTTGTAGGTTTGGCCCAGAGAGTGGAAGGCAAGTGAGAATGAACCAAAATTGCCAGGCTCCCATTGCCTCAGGCAGGAGCTTCCAGTTTATCCAGTGATTCTGCTCCGATTTGTTGAGAAGTCCTACTTTTGTAGGACTGAAAACATCTGAAAACATCACTAAGGTGCAATGCTGGAAAGACCAGTGTGTCCTGCTTTCACAGAGTCAGGGTAGAGCTCAGTTTCCACCTTAGTCTTTTGTCAGAGAATCACAGAATGGTTTAGGTTGGAAAAGCCCTCTAAGATCACGGAGTCCAACCATTAACCCAGCACTGCCTGATCCACCACTAAACCATGACCCCAAGTGCCACATCTACACATCTTTGAAACACCTCCAGGGATGTTTTAAATACCTCAAGGGGTGCTGACTCCACCACTTCCTGAGCAGCCTCTTCCATGGCTTGAAAACCCTTTCATGAAGAAATTTCCACTAATATCCAATATAAACCTTCCCTGGTGTGATTTGAGGCCATTTCTTATTGTCCTATCACTTATTACCTGGGAGAAGACTTTGCTACAACCTCATTTCAGGTAATTGTAGGGAGTGATAAGGTTTCCCCTGAGCACCCTTTTCTCTGGGCTAAACAAACATCTTATTTTAATTTTTTTATTATTATTTTTCTTTAGTTTGCTGCTTTCTCCCCCACCAATGAACGAAAGTTTCCAACATTTTTTACAGTTAATCACTCAACCTTCTTTACTCTCGCACTTACTTTCATTTTTAGCCCCTGATGGTGTCAAGGCAGTGCAATTCTCACCTGTGCTCAGGAGGGTGCATCCTCCCTGATCCCAGGGTTCCAGACAGTCATCCTGCCATTTCACATCCTTCCTTAGGTTTCCCAAAACACAACTAGATTCTTTTCTTCCCTGCACTTAACGCTTGGGAGGGGGCTTAAATCTAGCACTTGGTGTTCACTGAGGATGTGAACTCCCCCCAGTGCAAGACTGTCCATGTGCAGATGCTCCTTGACCACCTCATGCTGGTAAAACTGCCTTCCTCCCCTTTCAGGCATCGCTCTTTTGAGTGGTACCTCACATTCTTCTCATTCTTTAAAAGCTTTACCACTAAAAGTGTTCAATACCAGCCCCAGCTCTTTCCACGGAGAGATTTGGAGAGGTTAAAAGCATTTTTTTTTGTCCCTTAGACAGAAGCGACACAGGAATAACTTTGTTTCTCTCGACTCTCTGCAGGTGGAATGCAAAGCAGTGATGGTGTTTTTTCACTACTGCGTCATGTCCAACTACTTCTGGCTTTTCATTGAGGGGTTGTACCTTTTCACTTTGTTGGTAGAAACCTTTTTCCCAGAGAGGAGATATTTCTACTGGTACACAATCATTGGCTGGGGTAGGTGATGTTTCTTGTCTGAAATGTGTCTCATCTGAGATTTCCACCCTCAGTTTCAAAGTGTAATTTTAGTCTTTGTGTGGAAGTACCTCTGTGTTGTGCTTTTCCTGCCTGAACAGAGTTGAACTGGAATCTGGAGGACACCACACCCCTGGTAGAGATGAAGTCCACAACAGAAAATTGCCTCCTACAAAATATGATCTTAATATCAAGCTCTTCACCTTAATCAAATCTGTAATCCTAAGTCTAGTCCATTTGCTTCATTTGTGCCTTTCTTCCAGATAACAGCTAAATTGAAAATGTATCCAAAAGGTTTTCACATATGCTCATCCTACCTGGATGGGAAATAAAAGCTTGCAGTGGGAAGAAACAAGATGTCTTTCAGAAAGGCCAGTTGCATGATGATAATCAGTGTAATTATTTTTCATTCTGGCCTTCTGGAGATAAATTGGTTCCTGTGACATGTTAATTCAAGCAGTTCTTTGCTGATGTTTTCGTGCAGAAGTCAGATGGTGAATGCAGAAGAGTACATTCATTTAAAATGTGCCCTGAGAAGGTTAAACTCGATTTTTCTACTTAAAAATACTTCTGAGATAATTAGAAATAATCCTGTATATTCATGTGTAAAGGCTACACAAAAAAACCCCCCATGTCTTAAACTTTTCTCCTTTGCAAAAAACATCTTTATGTAATCTGAATCTTCAGATAATCCACAGATAATTTTGTTTTCTCCTTCTGAGGCAGTTGTACGTACACAAAAATTCTCATCTCCTGGCAAAGACTCCCTAGAGTAGAGAGAAAAATATAGAGAAGGTATAGAAGTAGAGAAGCTAAAGAGAAGGAATAGAGAAGAAAGAAGGGACCAAATAATCATAAATAACCTATGGCATAAAACAGCTATTGGGAAAGGATGGTTACTGGAAAAGGTTTTTGGAAAAGAAATTATTGGAAAGGGTGTTCAAAGTTCCCTTTGTACTATCCACAGATGTACAGTCACATTATAGCTGAGGCATAATTTTGTTCTCAAAGAGAAATTAGGGGTTATATACATGAAAATGTGACAATTGCAAAGGAAAAAAAATATATAAATCTCTGCAATCTGAACAAGCCAGAGGTTGCTGGGTTCCTTTTATTAAGTTTGCACAATTTTCTTATCTGTAGGTTTGTCTGAATATGAGAATACTGCAACACAAAATATATTAACAGATTTTTTTTTTATTTTTATTTTGAAGTCAGTCTTTATAATGACTGATCTACCCAGATGAATTCATTCTGTAAAGCAGCCTCAAAATACTTAGTTTTGAGTTGAATACCATAAATAATATCCAGCTGTTCAATTTACAGATATCATAGAATCCTAGAGTGGTTTGGGTTGGAAGGGATCTTAAAGACCATCTCATCCCACCCCCTGCCATGGGCAGGGACACCTTCCACAGACCAGGTTGCTCCAAGCCCTTTCCAACCTGGCCTTGGACAATTCCAGGGATGGGGCAGCCACAGCTTCTCTGGGCAACCTGTGCCAGGGCCTCACCCCCCTCACAGGGAAGAATTTCTTCCCAATATCCCATCCAACCCTGCCCTCTGGCAGTTTAAAGCCTATCCCTCCATCCCTTGTCCCCAGTCCTTCTCCAGCTCTCCTGGAGCCCCTTTAGGCCCTGCCAGGGGCTCTCAGGTCTCCCTGGAGCCTTCTCTTCTCCGGGTGAACCCCCCCAGCTCTCCCAGCCTGGCTCCAGAGCAGAGGGGCTCCAGCCCTTGGAGCATCTCCGTGGCCTCCTCTGGGTTCATTGCATCAGGTCCATGTCCATCTCACCCAGAACTGGGAACAGACTCAAATCACTTCATATTCAAAGCAGCATCAATAATATCCCTTAACAACACTAAGAGAATCTGCAGATGTGGATGGTTTGGGTTTTTTTTTTAACACAATCATTGTCTCACCTCCTGCATATTCCCCCTTGACTGGCAGCTCCCCTGCCCCGGTTGAAGCACTTGGCAGGAACCAAAGCACTTCCAGACTCTGGATGCAATTCCTACAGAGCCAAAGCAGCCCCTCAGCTCAGACTTGGTGGGGAGGGAGTTGCACTGAAGCAACAATCAGCAAGAGCTCAGCATTTTGCAGCATCTGGATGTTTATCTGCGTCCTGAAATGTGCTGAGCACGGCAGTGTCCTCGTTTGATTAATGAGAGCTGCAGATGGCTCTGTTGATCCAGGCAATTTTTTTTCTCCTCACATCTGCAACATGCTGGGAAGTTCTCTGGATAGACAGACTGCTGTCTTCCTGGGTTCTGTCCTAATGCCTGCCCCGTGCCCAGGGCAGGGACACAGCCAGCAAGGATAACTCTCTTCTCAGCCTTTGGGGCTTGTCTGTTTTCTAATGTTGCTCAGAAGCTGAAAAGAAAGTGATGAAGAGACATAAATCTTTTGATGTAAAGAAAAGTTCTGTGGGTATATGTATATTCATACAGCAGATGGTTCAAAGCTCCAAGCAGATCTGAAATGTGGGGGGGTTTTTTTGAACTATATTTTTAGGACACAATTTAGTTTAATTCTGCCCTCCTGCACATTTTTTTTCAGATTTGGAACACTATTCGTAGCAGCCAAATTTATACAGTGCAAATGTGTGCAAACTAGAGAAAATGTGAGAACCATGTTTCATAGAATCAGAGAATCACAGAATGGGTTGGGTTGGAAGGGACCTTAAAGCTCATCTCATTCCCACCCCCTGCCATGGGCAGGGACACCTTCCACTATCCCAAGTTGCTCCAAACTGACCTTGAACACTTCCAGGGATGAGACACCCACAAGTTCTCTGGGTAGATATTTGCTATTTCAAAATTAATTTGATAAAACTAAAATTAAAGTTCGATATTTAAAAATTAATTTTTGCTACTCTGCATCTGATAAGGGCACAAAGATCTCCATGTTTTCTAGGTATTCACCTGTCAGAACAGAAGACTTCAACTGACATTAAATATGCATGATTTCTCCTCCCCAAAGTCTGTCATTTTATTTCTTTATATCATCTTCCTTTCCAATATTCCCCCATGTGCTTATTTCAAGGAGAAGGGCTCCATCAGCCATCAGGTCTAACAGGGAAATTTGCATTTCTGGGAGTGGGAATATGAGATGTGACAGAGACTCATTTAAATGGGTTAAATCAGATGACTAATTAATGCAACATCAACACAACCTTGCAAAATATATGAAATATAATTGTTCTTGTCAGCTTTTATGAGTCTCATTCACTGTAGTGAGCTGGGTTACCAAGGTCCTTGTTTTGTTTGCTTTTTAGCACTTCATTTCTCCAGTGGTGCCTGAATAGATGTCAGCAGTTTCCTAATCAAAAGTTTTATTTACCATAAAATGTAGATCCAACTTACCCAGAGTTGTCTTTCAAGACTGTATTACTTTATAAAAATATTTCCACTGAAAAATCACACTTTCAGAGTTTTTAGAAAGGAAAATAAATCCAGGTTTCTCAGTGGATTCTTGGTGTTTTGATTAAATTTGCATTTTACATGCATTTTTTGAAAGAGAGAAGTAATGTCTGGAATAGAAATTAAATCCAATATTCTCTTTTGAGAGGCTGTTGTTCTGTTGTGGTTTTTTTTTTAAAGAAACAATTTTAATATTCCCGTGAGTAAGGGAAACTTCTCTATTGATTCGTTTTGATTGAATAAGTAAAGCAAAATCAGTTATTTACACAACAATAGAGAAAATTCAACATATGCAAGTAATTTACAACAGAACCTCAAAAGAATCCAGGGAACCCAATAATGCCATTGCAGCTCAACATCTGACCCTCTGCAATTATTGCAGCAGCTCTAGGCAGGGTGTCACTGCTTCTATTCTGTGCAGACTTTGTTTTCCTCTCCATGCAACAAGATGTAGTGCAGCAACTTGGAGCAATAATGGCCTGAAGGAGCATCATTTTTCCCTGCTGTCAGTTTTGCTCCTGCAATCCCACCCAACAATTGTTTCTAGAGCTCTGAATTAATGCAAGGAATTGCAGTCTTTGGTGCACAAGCGCTGTTGGGGAGTAAAACCTCAGTGGAGAGGTTGCATGAAGTGCTCATTGCTGGATATTGGATGTGTCCAGAACCTTTAATGGTGTCACCTTCTCGTCCTCTGCAGGTACCCCAACAATCTGTGTCACTGTCTGGGCAGTGCTGAGGCTTCACTTTGATGACACTGGGTAGGTATTGCTGCGTGGGAAACCAGCCCATGTGCCTTCAGCACCATGGCAAGGATGGCATGGAAATGCAGGGGTTAGAGGATATGGAATCGTGGGGTCACTGAGGTTGGAAAAGACCTCCAAGATCATCAAGTCCAACCTTGGATTGATCCCCACCTTGTCCCCCAGCCCAGAGCACTGAGTACCACGTCCAGTCATTCCTTGGACACCTCCAGGGCTGGGACTCCACCACCTCCCTGGGCAGCCCCTTCTAACTCTTAACAACCCTTTCAGTGAAAAAATTCTTCCTGATGTCCAACCTGAACCTACTGTGGTGCAGCTTGAGGCCATTTCTCCTTGTCTTCTTTTCTCCTTCCATTTCTGACATTGTTTTTTGTGTACACCAGTAATTCAGGTCCAGTGTTCAAGTCCTGCCCTGTTCATTTGAATGTAGAACCACAATTTGATGTCCTTGCTCCAACAAATTAGTGGAGTCCAGGATGTGGTTCATCTCATCTTAAAAGAGCTGTGAGGTGAATCACACATGTAATTCCTGCCCCTTTCCAGCTGATTATGGAGAAGGACAAAGGGGATGAGCTCAGCTGTAGAAATTACTGGGGGTATCTCTGATGAAATGAGTGAAATCTGCCCTGGGCATTGCTGAGTTTTGATTTACAGAGGCAATTAGAAGTTTAGCTTCCCACTGAGGAGTGTTTCCAGCAGGGGAGATGAACAGGGGTGAGACAGAAATCCACACCCTGTCTTCTGTGTGAAGAAAAAAATTAAAATTTAAATAATTTCAGAAAGATTCAAGAGGGTAGATTATACCTAAGTTGTCTCTTTTGGTAGAGGAAAAAAGCCCTGCAAATATCCTGAATCCTTTTCTGAAGGACCAGAAGGAAAAGCTGCTCCCAGAGATGGACCTGCATATCTCAGTAGGCAGTCAATTGACTGGCTTGATAGGGCAGCAGATGTGGCAGGTAGGGATGGATGTGTATGTACACCCTGAAAACACAAAATTAGCAATGTTTTTTCCATGCCATCTATGTTTGAACTCGGTGAAATGTTAGAAAAATGAGGGAAACTGAGTAAAATTTCAAAAATTCATCAGTGGTTCTTCGAAAACATAGAACTGAGTGAAAGGCATTTTGTACCCAAATCCCATTTCCAAGACATTTAGGCTTATGCTTTAATTTCTCCTCACACTGGAGACACCTGGATGCACAATTTGCATAAGACTCATTTTTCTGCTGGGTTTTCTTCATCCTTCTTGTTTCAGACTCTCTGAAAAACACATAAAGCCCTTCCTCCACTGAGGATGCCAGTGCTTTGACCCAATGTTCCATTGTGACATTAAGACAAATTAAATCATTTCTTTCCATGCAAAACAAGCCAGAAACCCCTGTTGTGTCATTATTATGATCACAACACTGGTCCTAAGTGCATTAATTCCTCTCAGAAGTCCAAGTAGGGTTTTGCAGGTAGAGAGAACATCTCACAGAAGGAAAAGAAGGAAAAAAAACCCCAACAAAACCCTTTATTTTCTTTTACTTAGAGAAGCTATTTAGCATGCAACACATTCAGGCAGATTCTAGCTGAGAGTCTCAGTGGTTACTTTTTAAAAATCAGCAGGCATTGTTCAGGGGGTAGGGGAGAAGCCAACACAGAGCCTGAAAACACAACAGGAATTACTGAACTGGAAAACCACAGTGGCAAAGGCATGGACTGAAATACAGACACGGAGTCTGAGTCTCCTTCTGCTTGTTCCTTGCAAAACTGGCAGAGCTCCCTTGACTTCAGCTCCTGACTCCCATCCCTGTCAGTGACAGGTTTGTGGAGATAAATCCAGCTGTCTGCTTATCCAGAGCTCTGGTGTTGAATTAAAGGGAGTTCTTCCAGATGGACCCCAGAGATGTGGCAAAGAGCAGACTCTGGCCTTTTCAGATGGAAATCACATCCCTCCCCCAGCCCATGGGCTCCTTTCCTTCCTCCATCCTGGAAAAGAGTCCTGCCTGTCTGACCTGCACTGCAGTGATGCATCTGAAGGAAATTATGGAACCTGTTTGTGTGGAGCAGCTTGTTGGCTGATAACACTGACTGCTCTGTTGTGCTTTGCTTGTTTTTCCTTCTGGTCACGTTTAGCTGAGGAGAAGATGATGTTTCTTCCACTCCATCCATCCTACAGATGTCACAGGGACCGGGACAAAAAAAATCCCTGATAAACCTGTGTGTGAGCTTCATCTGATTCCTTGTTGACATCCACAAGGCAGAGGTTGGAAATTGAGCTCATCCTGTAAAAGCTGAGGAAAAGGTCTAAAAAGGATAGGGATTTGTAGGGGATGATGTATCACCCCAGAGCACAGATTTAAAATACCTCAGTGTGGAAAAAACACTCCAAAACAACCTCCAAGTGTCTCTTTGTCCCCACCAGATTCCTGGGCTGTCCATGTCTTCAGTAGAGATGACTGGAACTAGTGGAGGTAGATTCCTTTCCCTTTAATTTCTAATTTTTACACAGACAAACTACCATACATCAATATCTGTTTAAATTAATATCAGAATTTTCCCAGATTCTTCCAGCATTGGTCAACTCACTAAAGACCTTCAGGGTAGATTTAATATCCATTGAAGGAGGTTGAGCTCTGACATAATGGGTAATTTTCAGAGGACAGCACCTAATTTATAAACACACAAATAATTTAAAAGATAATTGGTGATTTTAGGTGATTTTGTTTTGGGGAATTCAATTGTTGGTCACTGAAGAGAGCCTGATTTCCAGGCTGTCGGTGAGGAGTTCCCTCTGAACATTTATCCACTTCCAAGTATTTTAAGTTGGGCATCCACAGTGAGGTAACTCAAAGATATTAATTTGCATTTGAAAATCTCAGCCATCAGTCTTGTGGATTTGGGGTGACTTTAGGTTTCTGGGCATTGCAAACAGAAGTAAAAATACATAATTTTGTGCAAATTTGACACCCCACCTCTACATTTTCTCTCTTCTCATCAACTATACCACACACATCCTTCTTATTGGTTTTATGGAAATCCAGTAAAATACTGTCTAAGTGAAATATAATGAAAATTGTTCAATGGAAAAAGTAAGTTCAACTGGAATTTCTGAGCCAGGCATCACTCAGCCACTTGGGATTTCTCCCACATGCACTTTGAGGATGGGATTTCAGCTCTGCCTCCTCACTTTTACTCATGTAAATAGTTTTGTTCAAAGGAAAGATTTTCACTTTTCCCCCAGATGCCACCAGGCAACCATTTCAGTGACACAGAAGTTGCATTAAGCTCTCATCAGACCAGCAGTGTTTTATTCCTGTGTGCTTGTTCCAATTGTTTCTTGGCATCTGACAAATGCACCATGACAGCCACTGCTGGGATTTGTGGTTCTGCTCCCAGCAGAACGCCAAACCTTCTTCTCAGAACTGCAGGTACAAAGTAGGCAGTTTTTCGTGATTTTTGTATTTTCTAGAGGCAAATATCAGGGGAAGAAAGTGGAGAAAAATGAAAGAAGATTTTAGCTGACAGTCAAATTCTTGATGACTTAAAACAGTCATTAAGACATTATGTCTCGATGATATATAATTGTCATTACAACAGTGTAGCAGGGGTGGAAAAACAAGATTCTTTTCATTATTAGTGGTTTTCTAGCTTTAAAAATGTCTGTTAATATTAAAACACTATACATATATATATAGGTCCTATATTTAGCTTTTACTACAAATAAATGTCCAAATGAACCTATGTGGAGTAAACTTCTGGAGAATTCTTTGGTGAATCCAAAGGAAGATTTTAAACGCTCAGGTAGAAATGTCATTTTATTTATGATCCCTCATCCCCAACAGCTTAAAAAAGGGGCTGACCCCAACTGTTGTCCAGTAATTGAAGCTTCTCAGATGAATCCTTGCTCCTTGGCTGGACTTTTATTCCCATTTGTGAGTACAACCAGGCTCTGGTACACCCTGGTGTACTAGAAATGTGTAAGAATTCTCATATCAGGGTCAGAAACCCACACTCATGTCTGTTAACCGTGGAAAACCAACTGAGGAATCAAACTTTGGAATAACTATCTCTTACCCTTTGGGACATCTATGTCTTTTTTTTTTTAAAAGAGACAAATTTACAGTTGTACTGTAGGCACAGAAACACATATTAAGGCATTTTCCAAAATGTCTAAGCTGTTTAGGAGGGAGTACCATTTAAACTGCCACAAAAATACTTATTTGACTTTCAGGTAAGTTTGGAAAGGCTGTTAAATAAAGCTACAACAGGGACAAACTAAAGAACTTGCACTTTAAACTCAAAATAATTTAGCTACAAGACCGATCTCCCACTCTCTGGCCCCTTCAAAATGATTATAAGTATATTAACTTCTTTGTTATATCTTTTTCTCTTCCCTTCTCTCTCCCCATCCCATTTTTTCCTCAATGACTGCAGCTGCTGGGACATGAATGACAACACTGCCTTGTGGTGGGTGATCAAGGGTCCTGTGGTTGGATCAATCATGGTAAGTAGGACTTGGAGTAGACACTTCCTCAGCTCTTCTGAGGACAAAAAACCAATTTAAATATCTCCAAATACCTTTACAAACCACGATGGGCTGGTGGGCACCTTCTCTGAATGCCCATGGTTTGCCACCCACAATGATTCATAATTCCACTGTTAAAAAGAAGTTTTAGTGCAAATTAAATGATGGTTCTCTGCCTGTAAGCAAAGACTGTGCAGACAAAGGGTTATTCAGTTGTTTAAACACAGACATCAAAACACCCCAGAGCATGTGGAGCATTTGTCAGGGGCTGGGAGACATGGCATAGGATGTGTGAGAACCCTGGGCCTTTTGGGGCAGCAGCTGAAAGCCAAATGGGACAATCCAGGACATCTAAAACAATACTAGATGCCAGCCACCAGGAAAATGGACTCTGGCTGTTGAATGGAACAAATTTCACAGCTGCATTTATCTAATATTAGATTTATAATAGTATTGTGGTCATAGGGCAAGATACTAAATTGTCTGCAAGGTATCTAAGCTCTCTTTAGCTGATGGAGGTCTTGGATTTGACTCAAATGCTGTTGGATACCCATTTATGGATGATTGAGAGGCTCTAATGAGCCCTGTTTGGGCTTCTCAGAACCACAGGAGGGGGAAGATTGGAAGGGACCACTGGAGGTCATCTTGTCCAACCTCCCTGTTCAAGCAGGATCCCCTAGAACACATTATCCAAGATTGTGTCCAGATGGCTTTTGAATATCTCCAGAGAAGGAGATATTCTGGTGCCCTAAAAGAATATGGGGATATTAAAGTGTTGTTGGGCCCCTGCAGCTGGAAACTAGATCGAGAGCCCAGACAACAGGGTTAGGGGCACCTGAAAATCTGTTAGGGTTGTTACATGGAGGTGTTTGATTCTGGGCATCCTAAGTTGCTTTCCATGCTCCAGGGACAGCATTAGGCAGGTTTTCAGTGCTTGTTTCGGGAATTCAGACATCCAGCTCAGGAGGTTTTGTCAGGTCTGGTGATTCTACTTGGTGGTATTTGGACAGCTCCCTAAATTAGAGCAGCCTGCAGATAAATTAGAGGTAATTCAGCTGATAACAGTGAAGAGGATCAACATGGAGAGGGTTCAGCCATCCAGGAGTTTTGTCCATGAACATGAATTTCCATGCTTTCCAGGCACATTCCATGAAGGATCACGTTCTGGTTTGGCCAATCACTTATACTGGGTTTCTGTAGATAGCACTAAAGAACCAAAAATCTTCCATGGGACAACTGGGCTTCTCCATCCATTTGTAGTCCTTATATCAGATGGAACATCTTTCTGAAGATTCTGAAATCTTTCTGATGCACACAACTGCTTTAAGTTCTTGTTTCTCCCTACCAACACAAATTTCCACTGTTTTCTTCTGGTTTTAAGAAGCTTTGGAGCTGATGGCAGCCAAGTCTGATGCCAGAGCATTGGAAAAAAACCTGATTTTATTATTCTCCAAATTTTTAAAAACTGCTAAACTGAGAAGTCCCTTAGTTCAGAGAATGGAAGTTAAAGATACTTCTATTGTTGAGATCTTTGCTATCTGGTTTTGGTGTGCAGGGATCTCTCTCTTTACTCTCTGCACTGGTTGATAATGAAAAATATTGAAACCCCTCCATTTATGTTTCTCTTCTCTTGGTCTTGGAACTGCAGAAATCCTGAGTCACTTTATCTACTGGAAAAGGGATATTTTTGCCTACAAAGGGGGGTGATAAGATGCTTGTAAACTTATCCCATTACTCCTGACCCTATAAATCTTTTAGAATGCAGTTTGAAGAAGAATAAGGAAATGGAATTAGCAAGTCACTGGGAATGTCCCATTCATACTTTAAAAAAATATGCCATTGTCATAATGTTTTTCTTTTTTTTTTCCCCAGATAAACTTTGTGCTTTTTATTGGCATAATTGTGATACTTGTGCAGAAACTCCAGTCACCTGATATCGGGGGCAATGAATCCAGCATTTACTTGTAAGTACAAATAAAACAGTAATCAGTTTAAATTACTAATATACACATAGGAAAAAGAGACAAAGTAAAAAAAAGACACCTCAGCTGAACTAGGTCGATTTTCAAAAAGAGTCACAGGGTCTATTAAATTGCTTTGGTTGATTTTTTACTTTTATTTTGTTAATCCATCAGCCACCAAAGTGCATTTTAAAGGCAGTTTTTTCACCTTTCTTTAAAAGACCTAGAAAATAAGCATAAACACAAGATTGAAAAAAGACCAAAACCAAACCAAAACTAACTTTTTTAAAGATGAATTATCTGGAAATTAAAATACTGACCAGGTATATAAGTAACTATTATACTCATGGGACAGTTTGCTGCGCTTCATAAGTTCCAGGGACATGGTCCAAAATTCCCTGAAATCAATGAGATTTAGTAGAAAAATTTAATAACTTTGGGCTCAATTCTAATCTAGGAAGATCCCCCAAAATTGCTCATGTTCACGTTTCTTGTAACCTTAAATTCAATTCACTTAAACCAAAAAATTCTCATGCCACATAGAATTGTTTTAAAATCCACATAAGTCCTAAAATTTTCCTTTAGAAGTTTATAGCTTTGTGATTTAAGTTTTTTTTTTAAGCTGAAATCCTTTTTGTGAGTTTCCACCTTATAAGAAGACAGGTTGGTCATTTGGGATGATCTTCATCCTAATTTGGAGTGCAGGCAGGCATTCTCCTTATAAAAATTATATCATCCTTTGGAATAACTGGAATATGTGGCAGCACATTTGGTGTTGGCTTCCCTGCCCAAATACCACACAAGTTTAATTTTGCAAATTTTTTTGTGAGCTTAGATTATTTCTTGCACTCATAAACATGGGTAAGACTATTTGATTTAGCACTAAATTCCTGAAGAAAATTCCTGAGGCAAGCCACGAAAACCTTAAACAAAACTAAAAGATGTCAGGGGAAAGCAGGAAATCCTTATTTTGTAGCAAATACAATTACCCAGTGATTAGTTTCACCCTAAGTAACCACAATCATAATTTAATGATGTCCTCCATTTAAATTACAATTTTCAGGGGAAAATATGTCCTCCAGCTGCCTATTTTTTTCTTCTTTTTATTTTTTCCCCTAGTATCTAGTTTGCATTTCCATGAAAAGATAATATTTTCATGTCTGTAGTCAGACATCCACTTACTGAAAGTGCTGCACTTGCATCTAGCTCAAAACCGTGTTTCCGCGGCCAAAAATAACGCTTGAAATCCTTTCTGTAAGTGGATATCTCTCAGAAATAAAACTCAGGAGAGAGTGGAGACATCAGGTGCATGGTTTTCCCAGGGCTTGCATGAGGACTTCCCGTGGATGTGCTGCTGGGAAGTCCCCCCCTGAGTCTCAGGTTGTAATTAGCACCCAAGACGTGCAGAGCTCGTTCCGATTACGACCTCTCGAGTGCATGTTTGGTGTGTGCTGCACATCTCTCACATATGAAGCAAAGCATGCCATGGATTCCAGTGATTTTAACTAGATTATCCGACATCCTTGTCATCCTGGATCAATATGGTGACTGGGTTTCCCTGGTGTTTTTTCCTATGTGTATAGTTAGCCACCAAAACCAAGAGAGAAACATCATATTTTCTGTTTCATTCGCTGCCATTATTTTCCATATTTCTTTGCAACTTTCGAACTGGGTGTTTATAAATGGACCTTGCATTGATGTTTGTGCTATGGAGTGGAGTGTTGTTTATCCAAACAGATCTGACAACAGAAAGGTCACACAGGAACAATTAAAAGGAATGAAATTAATAATTCTGTGCAGATTTACACCAGAGACAGACAATATTTGTGCACACAAAGCCTGTGAAAAAAGAGGTTGTTGTAAGGAAGGAAAAAGTCAGATGATAATCTGGTTCTGTCACCATATTGAAATCTCTGTGGCATTTAGACTGTGGTCCATATGAAGCATTTTCCATGTTCTATTTTGCTGTTTCAAACTATTACAACATCAATTCATCAGAGCAAACTCTCCATCCAGATCTTTATTCCACAACATACTTAAATGCTTTCCCTTTAGTAGCTGAGGAAGGATGAGGTTGAGGAAGGATTTTCAGCCTGTTTCTGAAGGAAATATCACACAGTACCTGCAGCAGGGATTGAGATTTATTCTAATAGGATTTATTGGAATAACCCTTTTAACCAGCTGGGACTTCCATCCTCAAAAACGAAAATGTAAGACCCCAAAAACTTGTGACTGGGAGTAAGATTTATTTTTTTCTTATAGGTATGGTACAGGTTTAGGTTCAGGCCCTTTTAATGATTATTTTATTTAGGAAAATCTACCTCTGATTTCACTTCATAAACATGATGGTCATGGTTCTGCAAAGCACTTAAAGCTGTATTTGACTTTAAAAGCCTGGGGGATGGGCTTAAATTTAAAGATTAATATATTCATTATTAAAATCTCCCACTAGTGAAGTTCCCTGGGAATTGTGATCATGGAAGAAGAGCACTGAGGAACTGAGGATTAATTAATACAGAGTAGCCAATGGAGAATATGACTTGCTTTAAAAAAAGTCAAACAACCATTTGCATCATTTGCAGCATATTATGAGTGCTTTACTGCCATAAAAAAATCAGACTTTATCTCTAAATAACCTGATGATCATTGTATGCAACAGCTGAAAAAAAAATGTAGCTGATTCCTTACAAGCATTTCAGTCATGATAAAATTCCATTTTATCTACTTGTGTGTTCAGTCATCCATTACCTTTCTCATGCCTTTAGTTCCCCCTCAGAGCTGCCTGCATGTGCTGATCCCATTCCAGACTGAAGGGCTCAAGAAGTGACTGGAGGAACAATATCTCCATCTTTTTTCTCACTGATGTTTTAGATAGAAACTCCTCTTTATGGCTGAAAATACTAGGAGATAGATCCATCAAAATATCTAAGCAGCTGAGGTAGGAATTCAAAATATAGAAGACACCTTTTTAATGATAATTTTATTATTGTTTGGGGTTTTTTTCCCCAAGAACTTTTCATAGGCATCGTAATCATTAGTTATGTTTTAGGGTGAGGACTGAACTACCAAAGGCATGGTTTTTTTCTTGAAATATGTCTGATTTCAATTAATCTCGAGTCAGTCCTGCCAAATTAAGCATCCAACCAAAGCAAGATCAGTAATGCAAATGCAATAGATTTTTGTCTGAGTTGGAAGTTCTGAGACCCTCAGGTGCTGGGGAAGCACAAAGTGACACTGATTGTATTCCCAGAGTAATTAGGACAATGGTTAAAATAGTTCAGACAGGTTTCTTGCCCCATCTGGTGAACGAATATCATAAACAGGAGAAATGTGCCATGATTATGGTCAGATAATCATGGACTCATAGAATGGTTTAGGTTGGAAAGGATGTTAAAGGTCATCTCATTCCACCCTCTGTGATGGGCAGGGACACCTTCCACTAGCCCAGGTTGATCCAAGTCTCATCCAACTGGCCTTGGACACTTCCAGGGATGGGGCAGCCACAGCTTCTCTGGGCAACCTGTGCCAGGGCCTCACCACCCTCACAGGGAACAATTTCTTCCTAATTTCCAATCTAAACCTACTCCCTTTCTGTTTAAAGCCATTCCCCCTTGCGACACATCATTCTTATCATAGAGTGAGTGTCCATGTCTTGAACTGTATTCCCCACCCAGTTAGATTTTACCTAACATGCTTCCCAGCACAGAGAACCACCTGATTCTCAGCCTTCTCCAGTTGCAGTTTGTAGATATTTTGAAGAAGCAGCAGATTATTTGGGGACAGTTACACCACCTGCTGAAAGCCAAGGGGCACCACATGAATCCAGTGTGATGTCAGTTCTGGGGACTGCAAGCACACATTCACAACCCTACAGCAGCTGGCTCAGCACACAGGGCTCCACATCATTTGCATGGATTAACCATATATCAGTTCCTTCTCCAGAATTTTATGATACATTGATCTGACAAGGCTTCACTGTTTTCACCATGAAAAATCCAGCCAATAGTGTATAACCTGCTATGTCACAATCTGCTTTCAGGCATCCTGGTTTTGGTCAAGTTGTTGCAGGGAGAGCACGTTCACCCCCCCACAGAAAAGCCATATTTCTATAGAAATGCCCACAAAAAGCTTAAATCCACGCTGTTATTTTCACCAGCATTGTTGCATTGCTGAAATATTCACTATAGAGAGAAAATCATCCAACAGCACCACTACCATAACGCACCACAGTACCTTGTAGGTGTGCATGAAGTAGATGCATGCTGGAATAACCCTTAAGATTAAAAAGACCCACACATTCCCATCAAGTCTTTGCTTATTCATTCATTTTCAAGGATCAAGCACATGTAACTGAAAAATCCTCTTTTTTATTTTATTATTATTATTATTATTATTTCCAACTTATCATGAATAGTATAATTTGGGAGGGGGAAGCTTGTTTCTGCTTTTGCTTCAACAGATTCTTCATAAATTTTGTATCACATGTTGAAAGCTCAATGAAAAGAAAATAAAGCCCACAAATATGTAGCTAATTCAGGTCTACGTCATTTCTCCACTCAGCATCTTGCTGGAAAGAAAGGAGAATCATGGCATATATCATAGGTAGGTATGATTTTACCTCTGGTGCAACCTAAAGGGTCAGGGCAGGGCGAGCAATGTCGTGACACAGATGTTTTGGTAAACAACACTCCTCTGCACTTCACCTCCAAAGCCACTGGACGCTCGGTGGTTCATTCTGCTACTGCTTTTGTCTTGCTGCAAGTGCTCAGACTGCCAGAGTTAATGATTAGCCACGGGGTCTTCCTGCCAAAAGGCTCGTTTTTGGCAGGGAAATGGCAGATGTTGGATGAACAGTGTATTCCTTAGCACGGCACTTCCACCTCCGAACCCCGGGCGCTGCCGGTTGGGTGCTGGAGTGCCCAACAAACCAGCAGCAAAAGGAAATGGTGTCCCGGGGTTAATCCCTTCCTACTGCATGGAAATACAATGGAAAACGTAGATGA